CAGAAAGGTGGTGATCACAAGACTTCAAAGCAGCTTGGATATGGCGCAGAATGGCGAGAGTTGCGCAAAGTGAGGCACTTAATGAAATGAGAAAAGACAAGCGTGTAAAGCGAAAACTTCAGAGGTCAGGTCGAAGAACCTATGGGGGGTGGGGGTGGACACAGTAGCCCACGAGCATCACAGATGTGCTGTTGTCACGGCTCGAAAGTGCGCAACAATGGCGCACCTGTGTTGCTCGCTTTCAAAAAGTGAGCTTACAGACGAGATACCTCGTGCACACCCATGATACGCAGCGTCAATTATAGCGTAGCAGTTGATTCACATCCGTTCATCGGTTATTTGCTTAGGTTCTTTTTTCATTTTCAATCGGTTCTGCACCCATAATTTCATTGTCGAGCTGTAACTCCACCAGTTCGATCTGGAGTTGTTCCTCTCTCCTCAGTGAACGGTGCAAAATGATGGTGTCACAAGGCCCGCAGGATACAAATGAACGCCCTCATACTGGAAAGAATTAGCGGAAATCTGGGAGAGGTCGAAGTGTGACATGCGCAGCAGAAGAGGCTGTGTTGTATACTGCGATATTTCGTGCGCAAGGAGAACGTTCCGAAACACAGCTTCTTCAAGGGCCGTATCCCATCCTTCCCCCAGGCAAAGGGAACGAAAGAATCCTTTGAATCTATTGGATTTGACGACGCAAATCCCTTACTACGTACACGCTTACTTTTGTACGCATATACACATTAAAAACGTGCACCCTCAGAGCGATATTTGTCAGAAAGACAGAAAACGTGAAGGGATTTTTTGTTCTCCTAGGACGGGGAAAGGATAGGACACGGTCTCAGGAAGAACAGGAGCCTGCTTCAGAAGAACAGGTGGTGTTAAACTGGTTAGGTACAGCGGCAGCGGACTTACGATTTGCAGCATGCAAGAATTAGTCACACTGTAAACTTCCCTCTATGCATGCTCAGAAGTCAAAAGTTTTCGTCTATAAGTTTTGCGCACCAGTGTACTAGAAATACAAAAACACGCCTAATCAAAAGCACTAAGATGTAACGGAAGGGCAGGTGAGAATCTGCTGAGGTGACCTTATTCTACCTCCAATAGCTTAACCTTCATGAATTCACGCACTAAACCCGAAAAACATAATGAGGACATAAAGAACGTAAACACATCGAAAAAACTAACCCTCCCACTGACTGGCTCTAGAGGTACCGACATCGAATTTCCAAGTTGTCGGAACATATTTACTCTATCTCGAACAATGCCTTGCTTTTGAATAAAGGCAACGGATGGGCGGAGGCGAAGGTGTCGACCAATAGTAGCTTCCTGCGAAAAAAAAAAATCAAATAAACAAAGAAAAAGAGAGCAGGAAGAGTGGTGAGTAAGGCTCTTGATGAAGTTTCCTGCAACCCACCATATCTTCATCACAGGTTGAATTTAAAATAGCTGCTTTCATTTCGTTCGACGGCTCAAAACTTTCGTCGCGATTAGTCAAACTTAAACTCGAATCTGCACCACGCGCGTTTGATGGCTTGTTAAGGACAGAGAATTGTTCACTTCGATCCTCATCGGCTGAAGAGGAATTCAGCACCTACAATCAGCATCATAAGGATAACAGCATCACGGAAATACAACATGAACAAATTGACGAACCCGCCGCGGTAATGGAAAGAGCAGGCCTTTCGGGGACGTTGGTCGGGACGACGCTTTCCGCTTTGTTTCGATATTGGCACAGTCTATCTGCAAGCATACCACACTAATCTTGACAACCGAAAATTTGCTAACCGATAAACAATAGGGAAAGAACACTTCGAAGTGCACGGGAATAGATGGACAGCGTTTCCTCGCAAAAAAATATCCCCAAAAATAAAAGCACTAACTCTAGCATTCGAAGAGGCAAGGTTTGGAGGAGAAGCCAAACGCGGAGTAGGCAAGAATGGAACACGGAAAGCCACTTGCTGCGTTTCTTTATTCACAACTGCAAATATTGATTTGAGAACGTCCCTTCTTCATGAGTCATTTATGTCAGAGAAACCTACCATGACCCGATGACGCGCGAATGTTATGCTCCTGAGTCAAGAGCCTGAAAATAGCATGACTTTGAGAACATTGCTTCAGCAGGTTTTCATATTTGAAAGAAAAAAACTATCGCAAAAAAGAAACTGAACGGCACCTTTCGGACGGAGTCTGCTTCGGAATCACTGCCGTAGCTTTCGACGCAGGGTACTCGGTCACAAGAGGACGTGCAGTTGAATGCGTCTCGAGAGAAGGTGGCGATTTATAAAGATCAGTGGGAAGGTTCATTGTTAGTGACTCGTCTGAAGGAGACGGAATCGATATCGGTGTTATTACTACCGTTTCACCAACGACGGCAGAGCCGCGAACCTCCTGTAAATGTTTATCATCCAAATAGAAAGCACATCATTCGCAAAAAGGCTTTGTAAAGGCTGAAAAAATATTACTGCAATCTTAACACAGGAGAAATTTAGTGTTTGTCGATATCGAAGTTTCTATCAGCAAAAGTCATTGTCAAAGTTCGAATTAAAGTCCCTGTACGGTAAACTTCGTGGACAGACAGCAGAAAAGACCGCAATAGTAGAAAATACCTTCGAGTCAGTAGGGGTTCGAGGGAATATTATCGGTGAACATCCAACAGATACTTTCCTGACACGGTCCTTCACATCCTCTGAAAATAGTCGTGATGCACGTACGCGAATGTCAGGATTAATCAAACGTAGAACAGCCTCACCTTTCTTCTCAAAAGGTTCCTGGCAAGAGCTTGAGTCAAATAAAGAGTCCTGAAGTATTGAGGACAATTCTCGCCGCTGCTGCCTTTTCACCCGTCTCAGACGTGACTCGTGTCCTTTCTGAAGTAGAAGCTAGGCAGTAAAAGACAACTACGATAGATTAGGTCACAAATTCGTTTTCCTGAATTACCACAACAGACCTGAGTTAGTATATCAGCTGAAGAATCAGTTAAGGTGATGCTGTCCTCCGCTAGTGTTCCTTCGATGTCTTCGCAAGAATTATTCACACTGACAGATCCCGTTCGATGGCGATTCTTCAAAAACAAGTAATCACTGAATATGTAGCATATGCATGAGTTCGTATGATTGAAAAAAGAGCCATTCTTCACAAAAAATGGTAGCACATTGAAATCTTAGAGCAGAAATTGTGATTCAATTGAATAATAATCTGCAACGAAGCGAACAAAATGCCAAAATTGCCGAAACCTGAATGAAATAGCAGACCTCTTTTTCCTGTTCGTGAGCATTCACCACTGTTGCACGTCTCTTTGGTTGCTGCAAGCCTGAGTGCCGTGTATTAGGCTGATTGCGCCTAAACAGGAAAAAAACATTACGAAAAATCGTGTCCCAATCGTTGTTTTAATAACATTAACGAAATTGTTAACGGAAAGATCATCTAGTGGAGGTAGTGATTTTTCAAGACAGGAATTGAAGAGGAATCACCTTCTATGAGAACATGTATTAGCCGGAACACTTTTCATGGTGGTCTTTAATCACTTAGGAGAAAACAAAAGATGTTATCAAACCTCCTTCTGATTGTAAAGTGATAACTTTGCGTGCCAAGGTGACATGACATGACAAGTGTGGAGGGCATAAAGCATTCGCGGGAAATGAGAGGTCCCGGCGGCTGCCGAGGGATAAAAATTTATAAAAAAAAAGAAATGTTTACGATTCTGTAAAGTCTAGCGCTCTGAAAGGATTTGTGACCCAATCTACCTCAACGCAGTAGATGTCTTGACAGGTGTCGTATGGCGACGTCGTGACCTTTCATGTTGCTCGCGATACGTTGGATTGAAATGTTCTTCTCCAAGCATAGATACCGGATTATCCTTAAGCACCTAAAAATGTTGCGCAAAATGCTTTTTGGAAACAACTTGAAATAGGTCAACAAATGGCCGAAGAAAACACCTTGTTAACCCTTCTTGGAGGTGTTTCTCCACGCTTCTTTCCAGAATCACGTCTGTAGATGGGTACCTCAGTGTTCCGACAGGAAGATCTTCCCATCGACTGTGATCCACTGACTTTCGCAGTCTTACTCTAAATCGAAAAGTATGGAAAAAGTAAAAATAGATGCAAGAAATATAGAAGATAAAGCAATACAGTGTCTTTCGCAGCTACAGCCAATGTTGCTTTCGAAGAGATGAGGGGGAAACAACTACCTGCTGCGTTGACAGATAAGCAGATGGTCTGGCTGTAGTTACTGCAACAGGCTGACGACTACGGGATGTGCGAGTAGAAGATGATCGTAGAGCATCATGGGCATGAGTACCATTAGCCTATACATAGAAACAATGCAATTGAAAACCGAAACACAAATACATGGGCAAGCACGGCCCTACGCCTTGATCCGTAGTATATTTGCGTTTCTCATCAAAGAACGAATAAGAAAGAGCGTGAAAAAAAGAATGGAATCTCACATTCAAATGTTCAGACGAGTTGCTGTGAGGTGGTGATTCAGCGAATTCTAGCATATACCGCGGTGATGGTCGTCGTGGTAAGCGGGGACGGTGCTGGTGGTAATCCGTAACCACAACAGCGGGTGAGCTTTGACGACGGCTAGCCTGAATTCACAAGAATAGAATTTTCACATTATACCATAGAGAATCCGACAATATGACAAAACTTGGTACCTTGCTGCGCTCTCTACTTGGACTTCTCTTTCGCAGACGATCACCAATACCATTAATAATCCCACGAAATGCCGACGAAGATCGTCGTTTTGTTGACGACTAAAATTAGCCATGAAAGGAAAAAGATCACTAATTAGCTTTCAAAAAAAATCCATAAATTTATTTTTCAAAAAACCTTCGATTTGGCAACATCGCCAGCTTTCAGAGAAGCTTTTCTGTCAAGAATTAGAGACCCGGCGACCTCGTTTCGTTTTGATATCGGTCTTCGCTCTGGACAAGGTGTTGGCTCTTTCAACAAGTTAACGGCAGCCGACGTGAACGGTTGTCTAAAGCTAACTGCTTGAAATACTAAAGAAAATATAAGGCGAAATCGAAGAATATAGGTGACCGTGGAGATGCTGCAGCAGAACTACTTCTGTGATGATGGACGCTTGTTATGTAACAATCTGGATGCAGCCCTATCCAATTTGCCCGTTCAATTAGAAGTTGCACCGCAGCGATTTGCAGCTTCGTGTCGCTACGAAGAACAGTGAGAAGGTCATCCTAAATTACAATACACTGCAGTGAGATGCATTTTCAGTGTGAACAACGTGGATATGCACCAAATTCAGCGCATACAACTGCGGCCCAGAGGAGAAACTTTCTTTGGACTAGATGAGGTGAACCGGTTCCACGACCGGTTAACTAGGCATATTCAGTACATTTCCCGCATTCTAGGCTTCACAGATTTATAGTAATCTCGATATTCGCTCTCAATTTCAACCCTGCTTTCAAGAGGAATATTCCCTGCCCTGGTTCATACCCCTTCCCCACCTCCACATCAAACACCAAAGTGAATAAATTTGTCTAGTATTGCTGTTGCTGGTGTCTCGAACACGTTCTAGAAACCCAGAGTCATGCGCGCGTCATCGTCGCCATGAACTAACCCTTCCTTCTCCTATCCATGAATTTAATGGTCACTATATTCCGTCAAAAAATAGCCATACAAGACCCAGAGCTGAAAAATCAGCCCGCTTTTCATTTAAAAATGATAAAGTTCTATGGATAGGGCGTTCGGTAGACCTGAGATGTCTTTCGTATAGTTCAAAAGATAAAGCTATCGGCACACCTGAGATCCCCTTCTGTCCTTCCGCCTTATCTTTTCTTCTCGAAAAAGGGTCGGAGCGAACACCGTCGCAAGATTCGCAGAATCCATTTGGTGTTTGTCAGCGTGCCGTGATATCTAGAGCATGAATTTCTCACCGAAGAGGACAAGAGGAAATGTTTTCTGTTAAACTCTCACCCTTAATAGCTGCCTCATGAGGTACCCAAGAGTGCCTATGTGGGCTTCTGGTAGAGAACGATCCAAACTTCTTTTCCCCACCTCATATCCAGGTTCAAAAACTGAACTGAAGTCGTGGAGTGTTATCTAAATAATGATATGAATTAATGACATCGAGTTTTTTTTTTACATGCCACAACACCTGAGCAAGGACTTGACGGAGATGATATTATTTGGTCAAAACTGGGTACAAAATTCACATACTGGAGCCTCTTCATTCTTCTTGACGAGCTCCAGCAAAGCCTTGCGTACTGCAGCGTTAGGAAGAAGCGGTTCTTTCAGATCTCGAAAAAATCTTTTGACCATTGAACATACATCGTGCACCGTGAAAGTCGGAGGCAGCGGAGCCTCACCCATGTAAACTGCCTGAAATTCCCACTATTTACATTCGCTTTATCACTTCTGAAATGAAATCAAGAATTTAAAGCAAACACCCACAAAGTTGTTTTGATTCAAGCGACTAGCATTTCCTTCACGTCGAAACAATCCTTCAAGAGTCAATCCATTTTTTGTTATGAAATTGAACGCATTAACAAGAAACCTGAAACAAAAACTCAAGCACCATCGCAATTACGGAAGAAAATATCTTGAATCCCTGTTTCTAAAGGCTTCCTTCCATAGGGACTCAATTCAAAAACGTACACCGGTACTTGCTTCAATTTCACTTTGGTAATTCCCTTTCGACCGCATTCCCATATTGGCAGCTGGAGCTCGACGTCGCAGGATTTAACCTGAACTTCAGCATTTCTAATGCAGCCATAACACCGTCTAATATATACGCCACAGAACATTCAAATATCGGATCAAATATTTCATAAACGCTTGAATATAAAGTAAAAGTTGTTATGAAAAATCATTGTGGCATCTGCGCTGTTAGACGCGCTTGCCGAGTTCCAATTTCATGCCTTCAATCTTAGCTCTTCAACTATGCTTCAGCACTCACAAGGGAAGGATACCAGGTCGAAGTGGCCATTTGTAACGAGACATACACCACTAGATGTGTTTTTGGACGCTGATCTCGAATCTGCTCTCCAAATCTGCGAAACGATTCTCTGAACGTAGTTATGAAGCGAGATAGTGCAGTGGCAGCGGCCCGGGCCGACGAACAAGAGGTCGTGAGATCGACTTCTTGGCGAGTTCTCAGCTTTGCTTTTTTGAGACATTGTTTAAAGGAATCTCATTCATATTAACACATTGCGTACCGCGTGCGCCACCATGTGGCGCACGATTTCACACGAAAGAGCATAGTTTTATCTGATTTATTTGGCATTTTTCAATGCTCCTGAACTGTTTGCACTCATTTTCAGAGCCGGAAAACATGCTTGTCATCACTGGTAAAAGTGTTTATAGATTAATGATGATTCGTTTCAAAAAACATAGAAAAGATATGGAGGTGATTGTACAACGGCGGTCCGCAATGTGTTAAATCATCAGCGACTGCCTATCCTGCAAATGGGTAGAGCTGGCGAAGAGCTTCGAACAATGCGCGTCATTTGCCGTTTCCATTCGGTCGTGTGTGCCCAGATTTTCAACTTCAGGTCAAAGTTTTAGATTTGGACCAAAAGTTGTCGGAAGGGGTAGTCTGACGCGCTGAACACGAATATCATATCTGTTTGGCACGAAAGTGCCTGACGCGTGCGCTACGGAGTACCAGAGCGGTCATTTGCAAATGACGCGCACAGTGTTCGAAGCTCTTCGCCAGCTCTATCCACTTGTAGGATAGGCAGTCGCTGATGATTTAGCATGAATGAGATTCCTTTAAACAATGTTCTCAAAAAAGCAAAACTGACAACTCGCCAAGAAATCGATCTCACGACCTATTGTTCGTCGGCCCGGGCAGCTGCCACTGCACTATTTCGCTTCACAACTACGTTCAGAGAATCGTTCCGCAGATTTGGAGAGCAGATTCGAGATCAGCGTCCAAAAACACATCTAGTGTGTAGGTCTCGTTACAAATGGCCACTTCGACCTGGGTATCCTTTCCTTGTCGGTTAGATCGTAACCCGCCCTCACTTCTGAGGGAAGGAAGCATTCGCGAACGATTCGCGCAACGAAAGAAAAGGAGGAGGAAAAGGAGCTTCAGCGCGGGAGCTCTCATTGTGGCGCGCAAGTAGTCGTCGTCAAGATCATCCAAGACACTTCAAAGAGCAGCTCGCTAAGATTCTGGATTATTTTGGAGCTATATCCTACAATTCGAAGCACATCAATTGAGTGTACTTTAGTCATTTATCCACTCATTATTTATTTATTTGGGGCGGAAGTGGTGTAGTGACAAGTGGCGCGCTCACCACGCGAGCGGTCCGGGGATCAAATCCTGGGTCGTGAGTCGCCCGGGCCAACCAAGCCTTCCATCCCTCCGGGGTCGGTTAATTGGTACCAGACTTGTCTGGGAGGATAAAAACACTGACTTGAACATCGGCTGGCCCCGCAAGTCATTGTATAGGCCACATCGCATCAAACGCCACTACGAATGTACAAATGGAAGTAGAATGCGTGCCGCATCCCAAAAAGGGATTGATCAACGGCAAATGCTTTATCCTTTATTATTTTATTTATTTATTTATTTATTTACTTGACAGAGATTATGTATCTGTATCGTAGCTCAACAATTCTTTCTTAACAAGGCGTTTTGAAGCACAAAAGTGGGAAGAACAAGCAGTGGAACTGAGAAGCAACTACTTGGACCTGATGAAGTGAGGTGGGATAAAAAACGTGTGATAAACGTGTGATAATAAGGAATCCAAGCAGTTTCACTATGGTGCACGGCTTCCACGATTAGAGCCCTGTATCACCGTCCAGACGCTTAAACAAAATTCTGAAATTCCCTCCCAAAAAGAAGGCTTCAGGCACTGAATACAATTATATATTACCAATGGAATTCACTAACTTTCTTCCTGAGAAAACACTGAGCACGATTACGGTCTGGCCTAGAGCTTTCTCATAAAAGTGAGCAGTTATAAACAGCAAGATCAAAAATCAGTTCTACAAACCACATGTAGACAGGCCTGTTAGGGGCAGTGTGAGAATAACACCGATGTAAGTCAGAAATGGGACCTTTGCAGTGCAATGGATAGCGTACATTGCATTGCAATAGTCAGTGATGGTGGATCACAAAACCCCCACTAGAATGATGCCCCGATTCCGATTTGGATCGCAGGTTTGCCAGCAGCGGCATCTATCGTATCTCATCACCACTTTCATCTATAGTAACATCCTACCATATATAACCCGCTACGCGGTCGTGTGTGTGTGTCTGACTGTGTGTGCGTATTTGTCGTCTGTCGGAAAATCAAAACTTTGCCCACAGACCGCTCCAACTTTTAGGGTATTATATACCCTAGGAGTTTGAGCGGTCTGGGAGGAAAGTTCTGAGATATGGGATTGAACGTGCACATCAACGGGTGGCGGGAAGTGATACTACTGATAGGAGCTGATAACGGGTGTCGGAATGCCGATGCCACCAATTTTGTTACGCTGTTCGCGTTGGCAGTGGATGGTTTGCACCCACTAGTGTAAGCTGGGGTGAGTGAATGGAAAGGTAACAGCATAAGATTTGATAATGGGCGTCAAAACGTGGATACCACCAGTTTCGTTGCACCCTTCAGAGTGACAGTAGAACCTTCGCTCTTACATGTGGTATAGGGGATGGGACGGGAACACGGATAATGGGTGACCAAAGGTGATAACAATTGATAACTGCCTATAAGGAAGTTAACAAGGGAAGGACTTTCAGTAGATGGAGTAAGTTTACACAACGGTTTTGCGTGTGTCATAGAAGTGCATGCATAGAGCACAGTTTTTCTGAGTGGCACCCTCAATGCCAAAAAAGGAGTGAAAAAATTTGTTCCGGGACTGCACTTTTTATAACCTTCAAGTAATGAAGAGAAAATATAGCATCGTCGAAAGGATTCTCGTAGACTGGACACTGAAAACGGTGCAAAAATTTGTAAGTATGAATTGCTGTCAATGAGGCCGGACGCATAGTCGGTCGGACGACAGCAACGATCGCAAGTGTCGCACAGCATTGGGTGCGTATCGATCTGCGACACATGCGACACTTACGACCGCTGCTGTCGGACGACAGCAACGATCGTAAGTGTCGCAGATCAATACGCAGCTACTATTCCACACTACAGTGGGACTTTCGAAATACGATCACGCGCAGTCACGTGCAGAGTCAACCCTGCGTTGCGCAGTTCGCAACGGCACGTTGAGAGATCCTCAACGCACGCTGTATGGGCGGAGACGCAGACGGCTCGAGCATGCGAGTGTGAATGTTCGCGCGAGAGAACGTGTCTAATCGGGCGAAACTGCGCAACGTGGCCGTTGAGAACTGCGCAACGCAGGGTTGACTCTGGTCACGTGTTGTCTGGGTTAGCATTGGGTGACCGCGTCGCCTTCCATTTGCAACCACGGTTTATGCGACACTTGCGATCGTTGCTGTCGGACGACCGACTATGCGTGTGGCCTGACATATGTAAGAAAAACCACGGCCATTTCATAGAGGGCGTTCGGACGTACAAGTGGTGGAGATGGTGGAATGGTGCAGTTGACAGCGCATTGGTCTCACGTTCGCGAAAAAGACGGCTGAGGTTCTTGGGACCAGAGTCAACCCTGCGTTGCGCAGTTCGCAACGGCACGTTGAGAGATCCTCAACGCACGCTGTATGGGCGGAGACGCAGACGGCTCGAGCATGCGAGTGTGAATGTTCGCGCGAGAGAACGTGTCTAATCGGGCGAAACTGCGCAACGTGGCCGTTGAAAACTGCGCAACGCAGGGTTGACTCTGCTTGGACTTCCAGCTCGGCGATGGCGGTTTGAATTCAGGAATGGCACTCACTTTTGGGCGCCAAATGACACCTGCGCCAAATGGATATCATATTCGCGAACAGGACCAATACTTATTGGAGTGGGATTTTTGGAAATACTGGTGGAAAATGGTGCTGCGCCAAAACTGCGCCGAAAGGTCCCAGCACCAAAGTGAATATTATATTCGTGATCGAGGCGGTGGATAACCAACCCCTATAGCGTAAGTTTCGGTGAAAATCGAAATTTCAACGCAACTTCGAAAAAATGAGCTTCTTGTAAGTCAGTAGCCCGTCATGTCCCTGGGAACATTATAAAGACGAGCTCCTAATCATCCTATCATGTGGTTCTTCTCAAAAATGAGAATTCGACCTCCGGATGAACAATCGTATTCACTGAATCTACAGATGACGGCCGAAAAAACACATGTGTTGCAAAGCTACATGCTTCATTATTCACCAAAGAGTACGTGCTTTGGCTCTCTTCCCGTCCATTAGTCAGGGTTGTTCTCAATAATAGGGCTTATTTTGAGGTTCAAATTGTGATGCTAGATGTCTCTCTTGAAGAAGGACTGCGCTCGAAGAGCAGCCATCAACCGGAAGCGAGCGAACAGCTTGCTATGCTCTCAAAGCTCGTGTGCAACTGGCACGCCTGCCTCTCACTGACTACAGCTCACCCATGGTCCAGTTTTTTTAAAGTTGGGTCACATTTTTAATTTTCTCTAAAACTTTTCTTGTGAGCGTATCAGTGCGCTGATTACGAATTTGGCGTCCAATTTTGATGACGGCGCAATACAGGGCCATTTTAAGTTTATAAAGCACCATTTTGAAGCCCACTGAGCATCATACATTTTTCACCCCAATTGGGGTGAAAAATGACGATGGTGACAAAGACCTACTTAAAAAGTCTAATGATGAATCTGATCGTAAGCACACCACCTTTCGGCACCGGCAATATTTGGACGCAATTTAGTGGGCTCTACTCTA